TAGATATTGTAATGGTACCAAGCCTGCTGGATGCACATCTGTTAGTGTTAGGATGGAGGATATGGGTGGGTAAGCAGTTGATCTAGATCTCAAGTTACTGATAGTGGATTGAGTCACTGAGACGCTATTTATGCTCTTAAGTTTCAGGTAGAACATAGTTTAACTTGGTCTAAACTGCCTGTTAGCATGTTTTATCTTCCGATTAGGGTAGGCTGAAAGTAACCGAAAGAGCAATTCTGGCAACCCGTAACTTGTGCTGTAGCTCATTTCCATCTGATGTACACGCTCTTAATACCTGCTGCAGCTGTCTTAGAGCTAAGTGGAGCGTTCTTTGTGCGTGGAAAAACTCTTAAAGGAGTTTGAAATGAAAATGTGAGTAATTTGGGATACAGAACTGAGAATGCAGCCTGATATCTTCCTATATTAAAAAAAAAATTTGGAGTTAGTGATTCTCACAATGTCTTCTGTGCTTTTAATCATATTAATTCTCAGACTGGAATGACTCTGGATGGCAGAAATAGGAAAGTGTTTTTGGTCTGTATAAGCAGAAACATTTAGGAAGAGGCATTACTGGTGAAACTGCTGTTACATAATTTAAACCTGTAGACTGCAAATGAAAACAGGCTTATATTATTTCTGCTTTTTCCTGCAAGATGCATGTCTAAGGTAGTTCTCTGTATGGGAGGCTGGAGTTTTCTGCACTATTCTACAAGGAAGGAGAACTATTTGGATAGTCCCAACTCAGGTGCAGAGACTAACACCAAAAGTGAAAGCAACCCCAAAACCACGCAAGAACATGCTGTGTTAAGTGCGCTGAATGTCAGCCATTAAAAGCTATCCTACTGTTTACGTAGGCCCTGCTGAAATACTCAAGCAGTAAAATACAGCCTTGTGTATAGTGCTGTGTTCCCAGATGCATTAAGCCCTAATGCAGTTTTGGATGAGGATGTAGGCATCTAGCGCTGGTGCCTTGATAACATAACTTTGATTATGCTTTTTTAGGAAGAAAGTGGGAATGGGTAAGCGGGTTGTCAAATTCAAGTTTTAAGGAATACCTCTGTATTTTAAGGAATGTGTACTGTGTTTTGGAGGCTCTCATAGTTAAGATGGAATTGATCTCCTCTGCTCTTATAGGGCACTGTGAATGACAGTGTAGTCCATAAAGCCATGTAATTTCTTTTGGTAACAGAATTATAGACTATATAGAAATAATTATATTTAAAAAAGAATATTTAGTGATACATCCTGTTTGTTTAAATGTTCATCTTTTATTTCATTTAGATAAAGCCTTCTGAAGTTTTCTGACAAGCCCTGTTTTAGAAATAATAACCAAGCAGACAGGGTTTTTTTTTTTTGTCTCTTCTCTGTGGCAAGAGAAACATTTTTTGAAGGAAAATAATCATGAAATGGTCTTTATTGATGTGTTACCTCTCTTCATGCACTCAAGTGAAACTGCTCTAATTTTGGTTGTACGTTATTTTGCTTTTCCTTTCATAGGAAGGAGTTCTGCTTAGTCCATTCTGTTAGATAAGCAAGAACAGATCTGTAGGTTGGGAACAGTGGGAGATGGAGAGAACTGGGCACAGTGTGCCCATAGTATATGAGGGCAACACAGTGGAAATTAGGAGGTTGGTTCAAAAGCAGCACAGAAAGATGAAAAAGATGGGGAGAGAGAGCGGCAGACATGAAGAAGGATTCTGTTTTGCCTGAGGAAAACATTGCTATCCATAAGATATTTAAAGACAGGACTTGTGTACAAGATGAAGAGATCTCTCAAACAAAACACAGATGGCTTCTAAGCTCTGAAACACAAACAGCTGCTGAATCCTGGAGGTTACTCAACTTCAGTGCTTTCGCATTTGAGAGGAAGACTGAATGTGCCTACCCAGACCAGCCCTAGCTTGAAAAAATTTACATCGAGCCACCATCTGCACTGAACTGTGATTCAGAAACTGAGCAGTGTGATACTTCAAGAAAATTTAAGGTCTGGCTTTATGGTTGTGCTCTAAGTGCTCCTTACAAAGTGGACAGTCCTGCTTGCAGATAATTTACATCTCAGGTTGCTACATAAAGAAGTGACATCCTTTCGTAGAAGGCTTTGAAGATATCTTACATCTAGATTTTTTTTTAATTCTGAGGCGATTCCTTCTTAGTTCCAGGGACACTGATTCTCGAATACACCCTCAGCAAGTGTGTGGTGGTAGCAGGTGGGGAGGACAGTGGTTGATGAACTAGAGAGTATGGCTGTGAGTCAATGGGACCCTGACGGGCTGCAGGGAGAGCCTTAGGAAGTTCAGCCAAAAAAAAAAAAAAGCAGAGCCCTGAATCTGGGATGTAACAGCGATGTGCAGTAGTATAGGCTGGGGACTGACTGCACAGAAAGATGATTTGCGGGGTGGTAGACAGAAAAATCTGAATGTAGATGGAAACTACCCCAGGATTTTTGGTACTTAACAGGGATTGGGGAAGGCTGCTTTGCATACTCTTCTGAAAAATAGAACTTAAGGAGAGGTCGACAGGCAGTATGTTAATTTTTTCGGACATAGGTTCTTTAATATTTTGCTGAGGAGTGCTCTCCACCTTCTAGTATTCCAGAGAGTAAGGGAAGAAAAGAATTCAGACATTACAGAATCGTTTTTGACTAAGCAAGCACTTTAGAAATATTCACAGAACATATTTAATTTAAAGTGTTGCATCTGTATTCAAAAATAAATGTCGAGGAGATAAGGTTAAGATGCTGGAGGAGAAATTCGCCTTCCTAAATGTAGCTGGTAAAAGCTTTGGGTAAATATAACTGCTTTCATGTTTTTCTTGTTGCCTTGCAGGTAGGTTTGAAAATTCTTCTGCTCTGTCCCTGAAGCAGAATAGAGGCTTACTTTAGTAAAGCAGCATCAGTATTGCTGTGTTACATGTTTCTCAGATGGAAAGGAAGAATCCTTCCCTCTGCCAGAGCAAGATTTGCTGCTTGTATCTTGAGTTCCCTAGTGCTGCTAAAGTAGAAATAATTATATTGATGTGAGACTGCTCTGCTCTCCTTGAGCTTCCCTGCTCCTGCTGCCTGGAAGTTTGTGGTATCTTTCCTGTGCCTGCCCTCTTCTTTGAGGATTTGCTGATATGTTGTTGAGGTGTTATGGCAATGCCTGGGAGTGCTGGGTGTGCGTCCTGGGTCTGTCCTGGTTGGAGTTCTGCATGAAGGATGAAAAAGTAACACTCCCCACAAAATCTGAATTGACAAATAGAGCAGAAGGTGTGATACTGGTTGGGGAATGGAGTGGCGTTCGATTTGTGTTGGGGTTTGGTTTTTTTAAAAACAAAAACAACAATAAAAACCCCACCCCAAAAAAACCAAAATAATTTTTCCTTAAATCATGGGAGACGAATTGCCAACTGTAGAATGAAAAGCTATTTTCTTGACATTACCATCAGCAGATCCTTTTAAGTATTAAGAAATGTTCCTTTAAAAAATACAGAAACTTCCTACAAAAATACGTGTATAGTTCTATAATAAGACTAAAAAATGATAGTCATTCTGAGTCGAGATAGTAATGGAGCCTTTCTTTCATCTGAGCTACAGTTTTACATCAAGATGCAAAATAAGTTTGGCATGCTGTTCGTGTACACTTGTGTTATCACCGTTCCTCTCGGACTCTGAGGATGCTCGTAGTTTGCAGGAGCTGTGTGATTGTACCCCTCTTTCAGTGCTTACATGCCATTTAATTCTGTCAGCTCGATTTAGGTAACTTTCAAAGTGTGAGTTTTCATCAGATTCATTCACGTTTGCTATTAAATTTCATCTGAGACAACAAAGCCTTTACAGGCAGGCATGACGTTTTGGCAAGGTCCCAATAGGATACTTAGCTGGTGCCAAATCTTTTATTTTTCTCGGCTATCAATGAAGCTGTTGTGGTAATGTGGGTTTTGTGAGCTGTGAGAATTTATGCGCACAAAGGGACCTGCTCTTTGCAGGGAACACTGGGAGCCCTGAGTCCAGGAGGAAGGGTAATTAAAGTTAATGAACCAGGGTAACCTTTCCATGGTGATGACCACTATCCTGATGGTAGGTAAGGGTCAAGGACTATTCCCATTTTGTAATTACGCTTCTAACTCTGCTCTTTAATTGGTTTTGGATTAAAATTTGGCCGTTACCTCCATAATAGAACTGGTTTGTGGATTTTAAAGGAGTTTTTCAGAGCTCTGCAAGTCTTCAGTGGCTTGTTCTTCTTGGACTTGGCTTTGTGTTGTGTTTTAATGCAGTCGAAAAATGAAATATTTTTAGTATTTGAGACCAGATAGTGATATTTCTGTAATGGCAGCAGCTTAGTTATCTCTCTGTGGCAGAACAGAGGCTTCCTTACATGCTTCCCATGTTCAGAGGCTTCATCTGGTTTTATCAGCAAGTCTGAGAAGCCTTTGAACTTGCTGTGCACGGAGCAGTTGTGGCTTTAAGGTAACAGATGGGCCTGAAACACTGACTTAAATCTGTAACTCAGTCTATTTCCTTTTGTAGCACCAGGTAAGGTACTTTATGCAACACATTTCCTTGAAGAAGATTTCATAGCTGAAATGAATTTTCCTTTAAGGGATGGACTAAACAGAAAAGCTTTGCTGCTATCGCAGAAGTCTTTCTCAACTGCAGATCTTATACAAACATTATGAGCTGTCATTGATAGATTAAATGCACAGTATCCAAGATGCTAAATATTGTTAATTTGTCTTTAATTCTAGTCAGAAGGTTGTGGATTTGATTGACTCTTTTGTATAGGTAGAAACAGAAGATGACTCTCTGAGAATTAGCTGTATAACAATCTTAAAAACTTTCCATTACTAAAGCAAAGCACATCTCTTTCTGTCCTGGAGACTGGTTCCAGGTAAAAAGGGGCAGTGCTTTAAATAAGTATCTGTTTCTGTTTCTCTTCTTATTAAGGCCTACTGTTTGTTTGTCACAGGTGTTTTGTAGGTGTTAGCAAATTTAAAGGCATTATCTTTTTAAAGTAAAATTAATGTATTCTCCCTTTTTGTTAATAGAAACTGTTTATTTGTTTGGCGGCTGGGATGGAACTCAGGATCTGGCTGACTTCTGGGCTTACAGTGTGAAGGAAAACCAATGGACCTGTATATCCAGGGATACCGAGAAAGAGGTAAGTTCTGCAAAAGTCCGTATGGCTAAAAATATATGAATTATTGCACAGAAAAGTGCCGTGCTTCTGAAGTGCTTATATTGACGTATATCGTGCAGTGAGAGCCACAAAATTCAAACCTTCAAGTTTTGAAGGCTTTTGAAATGCTTACATTGGGAAAATGTGAGATGGATGTGACTTTGAAGTGTTCAGATTACTAGAGGGGAAAGGTTTATTTCTCAAGAGCAGACTGATCGGCCAGAAATCAGTTCAGCAAGTAGAACATGAGTTGAAGAATTTGATAAGATGGAACAACTGGACTTGCTGATAAACATTTCAGACCTGGTGTTGAGCTTCAGAAACAAATGGTTTATTTTTTTAGCTTCTGTCAAAAATCTGAGTAGAAATGGACAACTAACAGACGGAAATCTAGAGGACAGGGGTAACTGCCAGAGGCCACACAATCCCAAGAGCTTTTGTGGTATTCATTTGAGCCATTTTCCTTGGCCTGTTTTGCTCAGTATTTGACGTATGAAAGCTCTGAAACGAATGCAGCTTGGGTTATAGGAGGTAACAAAAAAAAAAATCCAAGACCTTTGCTTGTGTAATTCATTTTGCTGTATACTGTGAAATGTTAAAGTTCCATGTGGTTATTGTGTTTTGGGTTCGTTACTTGTTTGTCAGAGCATAACTTCAGGAAATCAATGCAGCCTCTTCTTGAAGGTATGAGAAGTTTGAGATTTCACCACTTTTTGACAAATTCAGGAGTTTCCTCAACTATTGAAAAAATTTCCTCAACTATTTGGAAAAAAGTATAAAAACATCTTGTTTCCCGTTTGTATTTTTCCAATTTCTTGTCATAGCTTATTTTGTGAGCTTCCGTACCAGGTTAAATAACACTTCAATTTTGCCATTTTTTTCCTGGCAAAGGTGTTTAGAGGTTGTAATCAAGTAGGACAAACAGCCTGAGCTGAAAAAAAAAAAATCACACAGTAAGGCATTTCCCATAGCCTTCAAATCTCAGTGTGTCGTGCACTTATCGTTTCTAACATCCTTTTACAAAATGGGCCGTAACAAAACTGAACGTGATATTCCGGTTTCTATCATAATAGAGCCGTATAAAGATAAAATTGTCCTTACGTTTTGTAGCCTTGTAAGTTGTTTTTTCACTCTTACTGTAAGTTGGTCTTTTATTCTTCTTCGTGCTTTCATCACTGCTCATGGCTACCCATGTGTTTACTGATAATGATGCTGAAGCTGGATTGACTCTTCCAGGGTCCATTCACGTAGACTGGGCTTGTGTTTCTTCTGTTTGTCTTGAACTGTGGGTTTTACTATTTTTCTCACTGTTTACCCAACAGGTAACCTCCTTAAGATAAGGAGGGGAAATTGGGACTCCTCTCTTTTATCAACTATATGGTAAACAGCTAAAACTTCCTTGCTTTCATCTCCCTTTATAAGGGGGTTGGGAAAGTGAAGAACAGCAATAGAAAAGAAGGCACAACAATTTTAATTGTCGCTTTTTTCACTTTTCTTCGTGCTTTGTAGCTGCTTAGTGTGTGCTTTGGTCTAGCTCAGGATGCAGTGAAATAGGGCAAAAAGGAGTCGCCGTATTTTCTTCTTGCACAAACCAGGGTGGGTAGTTCTGGTGTTTAAGGAATTCATTTCCTTTCTTGCTGGGATCCTGCCTCATCCAGTTGAGCTTCTGTAGAGCTTGGGAGGTCTGGCTGGGATGCAAGGCATCAGCAGTGCCAGGAGCAGAGTATGTTTTCGAGTTCCTCATGCCTAACTCTAGCAGAGTGACGCTGGGATGGAAGAAAGAAGGGATAGGCAGAGGAGGGCTGCATGGGAGACACAGTAGAACAGATGAGTTGTTAAAATCAAGTGGCTATAAAGGGATTTTGGAGGAAAAAAAAATTGCGTGCGATGCAAGGTTGGGAAATTCAAAGGGAAGATGGAAAGGGTCTTGAGCTGAGAGGAAGCAATATAGGGGAATTTAAAAAAAATGGAGAATGAGTTGAATGTATGGGGAATTTTGAAGAAGAGAGGTACTTAATAGAGAAGGATGTGAAGAAATGTGTGTGACTTTAGAAATGAACTTCCAGAAGGACTTTCTTTATGGTTATAGTCTGCAGTGGAGTTGAGAAGTCCTGCCAAGGCACAGTCCAGGGTTTTGTTGACAGTTTACTGAGATACAGTGAACTGGTGGGTGCTGTACTTGCAAACCAGCATTGGGGTGTTGCTTTGGTGTTTTTTTTTTTGTTTTTTTTTTTTGTTTTTTTTTTCTAAAGAGATCTGGATAAAACCTGATTTGGAAATGAAAAGGTCAATCTCAAATGTTGAGAAGTAAATTCAAAAACTAAGACTCCAGATGTTTCTCTAATAGGGACATCAACTGTTCACAAACAATCTGCTAAAAGGAAATGTCTGTTGACATGGAATTTTAAAAAATATTCTGAGTAGATTCCAGTAGAATTTAGCCTTTGTTTTGTGTTTTATTGTGCTTGTGCTTCTAGCTCTTTTGTTCTAAATAATCAGTGACAGTGGTTAAATTAGTCACTGAATAATTAAGCTTGGACAAGAGCAGAATATTGTAAAAGTTGTATCCTGTCCAGCGTTGTCGTAGGGGTAACACACACTAACGCTTTTGGGATAAAGGTACTGGTAGCTTCTGTTGCAATGCCAGATTATCATCATCTCCCTGCTGGCATTGCGTTATGAAAAGTTCGTGTGACCTTTTTAGTAAATTCTTGCTCCTGTTTATTTGCCAGTGAGCTGGAGAAATGTCTCTTTGTCGCCTGAAGTTGCAGTTGTGATTTTTGACATACTACCAAAGCTAATTTTTCATAGCCCCTTTTAATGCTCAGAGCACTGCTGGAGTAGCGATCGCTAATGTGTTTAAAAAGTGGGTCTAGGGGACCTGCTTGCAGTGTTGGACTCTGAAACTCCAGAGGAGGCCACGAAGATGCTCTGAGGGCTGGAGTACCTCCCATCCAAGGACAGGCTGAGAGAGTTGGGGTTGTTCAGCCTGGAGAAGAGAAGGCTCCGGGGAGACCTTCCAGCACCTTCCAGTGCTGAAAGGGGGCTACGGGAGAGATGGGGGGGCTCTGGATCAGGGGGTGCAGGGACAGGACAAGGGGTAATGGTTTTAAGCTGAAAGAGGGGAGATGTAGATTAGTTATTAGGAAGAAATGTTTTACTGTGGTGAGGCAGTGGCCCAGGTTGCCCAGAGAAGCTGTGGATGCCCCATCCCTGGAGGGGTTCAAGGCCAGGCTGGATGAGGCTTTGGGCAACCTGGGCTGCTCCATGGCAGGGGGCTGGAACTCAGTGGTTTTTAAGGTCCCTTCCAACCCAAACCATTCTATGACTCATTTGCAATGTTGGACTGATCCTCCAGCATATGTACCACAGCTGCTGATGGACACACAGACCTGAATTTGAGCTTCCCCACCATCCCTTCAGTGTGTGGAGCCAGCAAGCCTCCTGCAGTCCTTGTCAAATCATCCTCCTCTAAACCTGCATCCTTCCAAGGGAGATACACTGTGGAGCAGCTCATGACCTCTCAGCTGGACCCACAGCTTTGGTCCTGTCTCCTCTGTGCAGCAGCTCTGCAAATGGGTTGGCATGAGGCACAGCCAACACGTGAAGTCTAAGAGCCTTTCGGGATTTTTGCCCTGAACCAAGTGGAATGTTGTGACAAATGCTGTTGTCTCCAGGGTTTATTAGTGGTTATAGATCAGTAGACTTTTCCATGATTTGGGAATAAATAGTTTTGAAAACACAAACGTTGTCATTCCTTGGGCATTTTGATCCTAGGCCAGTGTCAATTAATAGAGAAACTTCATGTGTATGTTTTGGTGTCTTAATATTTCTAGTTTCTAAGCAGCAATTTAATCTTCTGAAGGCTGATTTAGTGAAGTTCAGTACAGGAGGACAGTTTAAGTGAACTGTAGGAAAGAGTTTGGTGTGAAATGGTAGCTATGTGGATTTTTAAATAGCATCAAAATGCTGAGGGATGTTGATGCCTCTGGAGATTTGATAAATGGAAGTAAAGAAGCATAATAGTTGGCGTATTTTGTATGTCACTAGCGGTCGTGTACCTTAGTTCAGTATTTCCTAACTACAGGAGAAGAGATGCAGGATCTCCCTGCAAACAGCGTGTTACTGCATGAATTGGTGGCTTCTCTAGTGCGTATTTGTAAGTATGATATGTTGACTCATCCCCATTCTGGCTTTTTTTGGAGGAAAATCCTGCTCACAAATCAGCTCTGTGAAGGACGTGGAAATTGTGTAAATAGGTTAGGTTTAGATGAGACTGCGTTTCGCAAAAAAATTTTAAGTGCTTCTTGTCAGAGCTCTTAGGTAGAAGTGAAGGTCTTGTCATGGGCTAGCTGGTTGAGAGGATAAATAGTTTCTCACAATGGAGGAAAGCGGAGGTCAACAAGTGTCTGCTTTGCAGTAGGTTCAAAACGATGTAGAAAATGGGTGTATTGTGAGGTGACAGTTCACTGCTAACAGCAAGTGCTTTTCCAGAATACTGAAAGTAAAAGCTGACAAGTGGGGAAAGATCTCGCAATAATGACAGCCAGGGTGAATTTCATCTGCTATTGTATTTTCAGTTAAATTTTCTACCGTGTCTGCATGCATTTCTTTACTTTTGTTGACATGGATGAATTTCCCCAAAGCTCCAACCTCGTATTACCACACAAGTATTTTATGCGATGTGTAAGTTTTATGTAAGTGTTAGTGACACCTGTGACTGATTTTTTTTTTTTTTTTTTTTTTTTTGGTGTTTGACAGAATTTTGTTAGCTTTTATTGGCAAA